ATGCTCTATAGTCCCAGTGCCCTTCTGGTACCTCTTCCATGATACTCCATGATCCTTTAGGGCACCAGTGCCACTCCGGCCCCTCTTTCCTGGTACTCTATGGTACCTCTCCAGCCTGTCCAAGTTCCTCTGGATGGCATCCCTCCCCTCCAGCTTGTCTACCTTGCCAAACAGTTTGGTATCATCGGCAAACTTGCTGAGGGTGCACTCCATCCCACTGTCCATGTCACCAACAAAGATGTTGATGCTGGGAGGTGCCTTTGTAATGGTGCATCAAAAAGCTGAATGTAAGAATTGTAAACTTTTTCCTTATTCATTATTCATATGGCAAGCCCTCTTACCTCTGTTCACACTCTTCCCAAATCCCTTAATAAGGGAAGAAAGATCAAAAAAAATGTTCAGGCTATATGTATTAACTTCATATAGTTGATTTCATTAATTAGTTGATTATGAGCTGAGCTTCAAGGCGGGTTCCCGCTTTCCCAAACATGCCCAACTGGGCCAGATGCAGGCTAGGTGGAAGTCTCTGGTGCGTATCACGCAGAAGTTAGGCCACATTATAAATCTTTGTTTGTAAGATATATTACTGTATATACACAACAAAGCTTCCTTCCAGAACACCCCTGCAGAACGCTGGCTTTTGCAGGAGTGTCCTTGCTTAAGGACAGCAATATTCCCAACGCCTGCACCGAAATCCCGGTTAATACGGTATCAAGCCCCTTTTCAAAGCTGTTACATTATTAAACCTTCAAAATTGAAGTTCATTAAGAACTAGAGGATTGTACGCAGTAGCTATTCCGCAGCACCAATCCCCTAGTACGGGTTTATCCTTGGCTTCTTCCAAATCCCCCTAATTAATTTTTTTTTTTTTTATTCAAAGGCCATCAATCTGAAGCAGACAAACATCAGAGAGTCAATTCATTAACATTCCCATAGTTCCACTTATCTTGGGCCACTTCTTCTCTTATTAATAGCTAGTAAGATTGGCAGTTCTAAAAATAACCAACCGACGCTGGAAGCGAAACTCCCGGGAGCCCTCCCAAAGCCCATCAATCCTCCCCGCGATATTTGGGAGTCTCGTCCTCAGGTCTCCCGAGTCCACCCTGGCAGTTGGCAATCTCCGAGGCAGCCCATGAATCAACATCCAATACGAACTACGAGCCGCTGATTACTCAAGTAATTTATTACTTCTCGGGTGACCAAAAGGCTGTTTACCCGAGGAAATTAGGATACTTTAGAGTAGCGGCAAACGTGCCCTGAAACTTTACCGCTGATTTATATGCCAGCTCAGTTTCTCTCCCCTTGATGTTCTTCATCGCAGGTGAATTCACCGCTGGTATGAAGCATTGGATTTACTTTTAGAAAGTTCTGAACCTCCGTTTTCTCTCTAACTGGCAAAAGGCGAAGGCAAGATTAGCACAGTTTCCTTAAACACATACGGCAGTGCGCTCTGGCAGCACCAACAGACTGGGAGATGAGTCACCGAGGATAATGAACGATTTTATCTCTCGTGGAGACCACAGAAAACAGGTGGTATTAGTTTAATTTCTATTCACAGCCCTGCGATTGTGGATTCCTGGCTGCTGCAGTAAGCTTAGGAGAAAGATGTTGGGATCAGTCACCCCAATCTGATTATTATGGTCCTACTGATCTTAATCAGGAGGCAATCATGAATTACTCACTTGTTTCCCATCTACATGTTTGTATCAAGTGATTTTACAGTACCGCCTGATAGAGAATATCAAAACGCGAACGCTTCCCACTGAAACATGCCACTGACTCACCGCTGAGGGGGAAGGAGCTCTCGCCCTCCTCGAAGCAAGAAACGGGCAAGTACAAGACTCGACGCCTGACCTAACGGAGGGGACATCTGCATTTGCAGGCAAGCGAAATAATGTTTAATTAAGAGTATTGACTAGGTTATACGTGGGAAGGAAGCAAGCCGAGGGAAAAAGATGATGCCTGAAGTCCTCCAGGGAGTCCGGACAAAAGGAAAATTGGCTCTGGCAGCTAACACGCTCCGCCACGGAGGAGAGAGGTTTCTAACGAGCGAGGCTCTAATGGACACAGCCTGAGATGTCAGGAAATGTTGAATACTGCCTTGATCAGGATGGGCAGCAAATCAGCTGGACAGGAGAGAGGCGTTTCTAATGTAACCTCACTAAAAGCAGATTAGTCATACGGTGGTTTTTTCCTTTCTTTCCTGTTTTTCATAACCACTTGTAACTCTGTTACCCGTTTTGGATCTTGGCCGTACGTACTTTCATCTGAATTCACCTTCATCTGGCTTGAGTTAAATCCAACTAAACCAACTTCAAGCCACGCTCCACTCCACGGCTGCGCCAAACAATCAGCCAGAGACTCCCGCACCCCTCCAGACTTATCGAGCTCCCCAAATTCATCCCCCAAAGGGTGAGCGGGCCCCCCGCCAGCTGCGTGAGCCAGAGACAGACATCTGGCCTCACACATCTGGAGAGCCAGGAATACCTTCAGTGAGCCATAGTGCACAGGAAGGCTCTGCCACACAGCTGGATACTGGGGGGCACCCAGTTTGGGGTCCCTGGGAAATGGGCTGTCCTAAACCAATCAGTATGAGACGCTCCTACTCAAAGCCATGATAGGGCACAGTCACAGGTGATCGTAGAATCATTGAACGGGTTGGGTTGGAAGAGACCTTTAACAATCATCTGGTCCAACCCCCCTGCCACGATTGCTGCTAATTTCTAACCAGAGCCGCTAACTTCTAACCAGAGCTGAACTGGAACTGATCTTAGAGCTCTAACCTTTAGCCAACAATGAAAACTCTTCATGCTGTCCTTTCTTAAAAATACACGTATTTCTTTTGGAAGAAATCAAAGCGAGAGTTTGCCACTTAGACAGAACTTTCCTAAAAATTATTAGGGTACAAAAATTCAACCATCCTCTCCGTTACTTCGCTAGCAGGAGCCCCGAGAAGGTTTCAGCTCCGATGGACCAGCACTGCCCCACGCAGCTCTCCGGCAGAGCACAGGCACCAGCGTGGACTGGGGACCATTCCCTGAAGAGGCAGTTTGCGTGTTCCGGCTCTATTTAGTTGACTAGTACTGATGTAGCCATTAATTGCAGGACTGGAAAATACTGTTGAAGAAAGGACACCGTTAAACAAAACACTGCAACAAAGCATTAATAAAAACACGCAGTACTAATGAGAGAGAGTCCTGCGAGAGACATCTTCGAAGAGGATCTCCTTTACATGCTTCTCTCCAGAAAGCAGTCGGAATTTTGCAATACGCCAAAGATATAACCTTGCAGTGGGTTCCCGGATTAAAAAATCTGTTTTGAACCCAACATTAGCAAAACCAAGTTCATCCTCCAATGGAGAAAGAACTTCTGGCTGCATTTTTATTTCAGATAAAACCTACAGGAGAACTGAACCGCAAGTGGTAACATCTCCAAGGAAACAGCTGGAAAACTTGTGGTCTTTGCAGATGCCGTAGTATTCTGTATTCAAAGACAAATTGTACCATATTGTACTTTGCACTCCAGGGGGTGTGTGGGGGGGAAATAAAATCGCAGACAAGGTCTTAGTAAGATGCCACAAACTGTGCATGCAGCAAAACAAGGCTTCTTGCACCGAATCTCGATGCAAAGAATATATTCTTCACATCGGTTTGCTAAAATACAGCTAAAATTAGCAGCATGACTGCTTTCACAAATCATTTTTGAATAACTGCTGTACATTTTCCGTACACAGAAGTGTTCTTTAGCACAGAGGAATCGCGTCTTCCTCTCTCCGCGCATCCCAAGCCAAGGTCCTACTAGCAAAACCGAAAGAAACCATTTTCACTTTTGCCGCTCTCCTTTACTGAGGAACGGACATGTCTTAGCTGTATGAAATTCCCCGTTCAAATTGACACCCCCGCAGCAGCAATAAGGAAACAGGACTGGCATACGTCTTAAGGAAACAAGAAACAGGGAATCCAGGGAACACAGAATTATCTTTAAGCACCGGGCTACTGCCTGCGCGCTGCCCTCACTCACGCTCTGGCCCTCGTCACAAGGACTTGTCAAGACGTCGCGCTTTGGCTTTTCAGCGTCCAGGGACGTTACACAGCTGGGAACACACAGCCAGGCTCCTCAGCACTCAGCAGCCTGGATCAAAGTTGGGGGTTCCTGCTTTTTGGGTTGTTTTTTTTTTTTCTTTAGTGGGGTGGCGGAAGATTATTATTTTTAAACGGTCTATATCACAGCTGTTCTGTTTAAATCCCCCAGCACACATTAATTGTACGAGATTAATCAATTAATACGAGATTAATTGTATGGGAAGAGAAACAAGAGTTTCTCTTCCCATACAATTCGCCAGCTTCCCCACTTATATAACCTATATGCCTGTAAAAGCTTTCTATAGCTACCGTAACGGCTAATATAAGATAAATTAAGGCACAAAGGTAGTCCCGACCTTGACTTCACACACCCGCGACGAACTGATGCCACTCTCAGCCACAACGCCTTGAAAATGAAACAGGAGAAAGGGCTTGCAGCTCTTTCTTATACGGCTCCCTTCTTCACGATAATGCTTAATGCATCCTAAAAGCACATCTGTCCACCCTAATGACGGTACTTGCAGCAAGAGTCTAAAATGGAGGCCGGCAATTTTCTATCCTCATAAGCTCTGGAAAGCAGCCCTCGACAATAACAACCTGCGACGCGGCCAAATCAGCCAGGTCGGAAATAGCAGCGTTCGGAGGAGGAAGACACCCGTGGTCACGCAGTCTGCCTCCTTCGGCGCTAAGAGCAGGCCGGTCCCCCGCAGCGTGTCCCCTGGAATGCTGCTTACAGTAAAAGTATCCTCTGGACAGAGCTACGATGGAATTTGACTCCATTACGAAGGAGCATCTGCCGATGCTCATTTTCTACCTAACACGATGAATGGTCACAGCAGTGGCGTTGGCTGCAGTGGGTTTATTTTCAGATTAAGATATATATAAAAAAAAAAAATAAAAGGGATAAAGCAAAGGTACCTGAAATTACAGCAATTTTCCATGACCCGTGCTCCTCCTTGGCTATTCTTTCTGCCTCCTCCATTAGTAACATACCAAATCCCTATAATAGGAGAAATAACAGGAAGAAAAGGTAAGCTCTGTAAAAATAGAAAGCATAAGCGAGGTCAGCGTGTAAGCATCAGCACAGTTTCAAAAGACTCATAATTTTGGCACAGGACTGATCAATACCTTATTGCAGGAGAGGGCTTGGAAAGAGGTGTACCAACTCTAAGCTTTAAAGTGGAGCTCTCCCGGGGCTTTTTTCTCATCGTGAAATTATTCACGGGCAGTTCTAGCGTCTGACTGCTTCCCCACGGCAGGAACAGAACAAAGTTAAATCCACTGATGGTAAACCAACTTGGTACCAACCCTGTAATTCCCAGCGCTGAACAAGTCTATCCCGCTGAGATAACCAATCCTAAACAACAATCACCCATCTTAACATCTACCTTAGCAGACCTGGGTTTGTGCTGGTGAATGAAACCAAGCCAGAGTACAAACACCAGATGCGACTGGGAGAGTTGGGTGGAGAGAAACCTTATGAAGTTCAACAAGGGCAAGTGTAGGGTACTGCATCTGGGGAGGAATAACCCCCTGCACCAGTACAGGTTGGGGGCTGACCTGCTGGAGAGCAGCTCTGTGGAGAGGGACCTGGGAGTCCTGGGGGACAACAGGATGCCCACGAGCCAGCAGTGTGCCCTGGTGGCCAAGAAGGCCAATGGCATCCTGGGGGGCATCAAGCAGAGTGTGGCCAGCAGGGCGAGGGAGGTCATCCTCCCCCTCTGCTCTGCCCTGGGGAGGCCACATCTGGAGCACTGTGTCCAGTTCAGGGCTCCCCGGGTCAAGAAGGACAGGGAACTGCTGGAGAGGGTCCAGCAAAGGGCTACGGAGATGCTGAGGGGACTGGAACATCTCTCATATGAGGAAAGGCTGAGGGACGTGGGGCTGTTCAGTCTAGAGAAAAGAAGATTGAGGGGGGATCTTATTAATAC